ATAGTGCTGTAATAAACATATGGGTGCAGGTATCTCTGATAGAACAATATATGCTCCTTTGGTATATGTATTGCTGGGTCAAATGGTAATTCTATTTTCAGTTCTCTGAGAAATCTCCAAACTGTCTTCTGCAGGGGTTGAAACTTGCTTACATTCCCACCAACAGTGTTTGAGTGTTTTCTTTTCTCTGAACCGTTCCCACCAGCGGCCTCCCCCCCCCGCCCCAGCGGCCTCTCCCCCGCGTTAGTGCGCCCGACCCTGCGAGGAGAGTTGCCGTTTTCCAGCCGGGAAGGGTCGCCAGCTGGGACGCCGGACTGCAGTGCCTTTGCTTTCCATCAAGAGCGGGCATTTTTCTTCTTTTGAACGTGCGCCGCATTCCTTGTACTGTAAACAGTAGGCACTCACCCAAGACCATCTTTGCGGTCTGTACAACTGAGGCCTGGTGGGGGGCTCGCCCCGCTTCTCTTCGGCCACTTGGCTTAATTTGAGGAAGGAAACGGTGACCTGGAGTCATCGGAAGCGTTGGCTGCCCGGGGCAGCTGCCGCGACCTGCTCGGTTGCTCCGCTTGACGTCTTGGAATACCCTGGGGGAGGAACAGGAGTCAGGAAGGGAACAGGGAAGAGCGCATCGGAAGACAGCGCTTCCATTGGGTTTGCTCTTTGGATCACAGCTGGGCACGTGGCTGGGTCCAGCCGTGGGGCTGCAGGGTCACTCCTCAGAAGGCCTTGGCGACATCTCCTGTTCAGACAGAAATAACCACAGACCTCTTTAGGGTGGGAAAGAAAGCGGGAGACCCAAAGATGTCACAGCTGTGATGCACCAAAGTCACTTCGGAGTTCAAGGAGTCAGGATTTCCTCATGAGTCATTCGTGGTTGGCTTAGAATTTACCAGAACACTTAATAACTGGCAAAAAGTCGGGGGAAGAAGAATTAAGTTTGAGTAATTTTTATTTGTTAACTCTTAAAATATCATCTCTACTCCTGCAGGCTTTAAAACAACTAGATTGGGGAGGACGAATGGATGATCTCAGCTACAGAATGACTTGATTCTGGTTAACATCACCAGAACTGTATAGTGGAATAGTCAAGTGACTTTCCCATCAGGCTTCGAGGAGATGGTAGGATTAAGAGCAGGGTATTGTCTAGGCTGCAGATACTCTCCCTACTTCGCACTAAAACAGTTAAAAGATTATTGGAGCTAGCTACTATGCTATTACAGTGAGCTGCCAGTAGTTGGAGCTCCAAATTTCACTAGGAGGGCAAATCTGCAGTTAATATTCAAGACAATGCCAATGTACTTTATTGTGGAAAAGGAAGTCATTTAGATTTCAGTAATAAATACTTTGTTATTATTTTCTGAGTTGGGGTCTTGCTCTGTCGCCCAGACTGGAGTGCAGTGGCACGATCGCAACTGCCATAGTCTGGACTCCTGAGTTCAAGCAGTCACCCTCAGCCTCCTTGAGTAGCTGGGACTACAGATGCATGCCACCACGCCAGGCTAATTATTATTATTATTTTTTAAAAACAAAGGCTCATTATGTTGCCGAGGCTGGTCTCGAACTCCTGGGCTCAAGCGATCCTCCAGCCTTAGCCTCTCAAAGTTCTGGGATTACAAGTGTGAGCCACAGTGCCCAGCATGAACTTTAGTAATGAGTACTTTGAAACATGTTTGTGAACTGTATAAATGTAATCTTTCTTAAGCTTATGCTTTTTATCTCCAAAATAACTTTGCATACTATTCCTACGTCTATTTTCACTTTCTGGGGATTTGATACTTATTTATGAAATATGTGTAATATGTAGAAATTTGCTTTTTTTTCAATAATATAAATCTCAACATATTTTCCATTTAGAACCTTGGATGTTAGAATTTAGTCACAGACAGTGAAATTCACAGGTAGGCCAGGAGTTCTGACAAAGAGGCAGCAGGGACAGAGCTGAACTTCTGTCAGGAAACCTAATTAGAGCCTGGGTTTAACTGATAAATGCTAAGTAACTGTTGGGACAGTTGATTCACGCCTCCTCGAGTCCCAGTTTCTCATCTGTAATAAGAGTAACATGTCTTTCTTGCCAGCTTCATAGGATATTATGTGTGACTCTTAGTGAAAGGTCTTTTATAATTCTAAAGTACTATGCAAAAGTTTATTATAATGCGCATATGCGTGAAAAAGGAAATGTCCAAAGCAGTACTATTCAAGATGGAAAAATCATGAGGATTAACTCAGCGTTAATTAGGTTATAAGTGTGTGAGTACTATTAAATGTCAAGATGTCACAAATTTGTAGAAGATCAAGCTCATGAAAGGTATTTAATAAATATGCTCTGGATAATAAATAAGGAAAGTAAACTTTAATTTTTTCAGAGATCCCCAAGTCAGAGAAGTTTAATCATCTCAATATAATAATGAAAGTGGGCTGGGTGAGGTGTTTCAGGTCTGTAATCCCAGAACTTTGGGAGGCCAATGCAGGAGGATTATTTGAGTCTGGGAGGAGTTCAAGACCAGCCTAGCAATATAGCAAGACCTTGTCTCTAGAAAAAATTTTAAAAATGAGCTGAGTGTGGTGGTGTGTGACTGTAGTCCCAGCTACTTGGGATGCTGAGGCAGGATTATTTGAGCCCAGGAGGTTGAGGCTGCAGTAAACTGTGATCATGCCACTACACTCCAGCTTGGGAGATAGAGTGAGACCCTGACTCAAAATAATAATAATGATGATAATAATAATAATGAAAATGGATAAACATGTATCTATGTAAGCAACAAGTCTAAACATAGATTATGTTAGATGCTTTTGTGTTTAATACAATGATTTGCTTTTTTCATAAACCTGTTTAGATTGACAACTGATAGCAAAAATTTAATTTCTTCTTGACAATTATGTGGTTGATTTATAAACCTGAATGTAAATCAATTTATAATTGTTGTATCTATGGGTAATTTTAAGGCAATACCTACCACAAAAAGTTGCTGTGTCTTTTTAAAGACTGACTGCCATATATGTAAAGTGAAAGCTACAATGTTTGGTGGTTTCCCCTTTTTTTTGTTGTTTGTTGCTGCAGTTGGCTTTTAGGTAAATGGGATTGCTCCATATTAAGATGACACATATTTTCCGTTCTGTGGTGGAGGAAAAAACAGTACAGTGGGTTATAAAAGTTGCACAGCAAAACCGTGGTCAACCACGGTCTGATAAAACTAACCATACATTTTCTACGTTGAATCTACCATGCCCTCTACTAGACACTGACTGACTGACTGACAACACATTACTGGTGGAAGCTCACAGGGAGTTTCTTGAACTTTTTGTAGTTTTTAAAGTTTATAAGAAGGCAAACAAAAAATACAAATTTATGACAATATCAACTGGAGACTATGAAAAGTAAAATTTCCTCTGCTATACTTCTCTCTTTCCCTTCTCTTCTATGCTTACCATTATTAATAAAAAATTGTTAATTGTTAACTAAAAAATTTATATAAAATAACTCTCCGACTTATGCTTCAGAAATGTTGAAACCAAGGTACATGTTTAAAAAACACAATGGTATCATTCTGTGTACTACTCTGTGCTTTGCTTTTTTTGGTCAGTAATATTTTTTTAGTTTCCAAATATGTAAGAACTATAAACATGTTGTTTACCTTATGAAATCTTAAATAGGTGGGTTAGTTTTGTTTTTGTTTTTTTGAGAAAGAAAAACACCCTGAGAAATTAAATGCAGAGGATGTGATGAGTAATTGATAAAAAAGAAATATTTTAGTACCCTATTTGTTACAGTTGTTAAATATTTTTAAAGAAGCGTAACACCTGTTTTCATTTTGGGGGGTCTAATTTAATTTTAGTTGGTGAAATATTTTTTTTTAACAGAACGAACATATGCCTCTGAAAGATTCGGTACTCCTTAACCCTAATGTAATCTGGGATTTAAAATTATGGTTAATCTTTGAATGTGTAATTTTTATACCCAAAAGCTGAGAGAAAATTAGTGTGTGTTTGTTTTGTCTGGGATCATAGTTTAAACTTAATACTTGACATGTATTATAGAGGAGAAAATTATTTTTACCAATCCTTACATTGACAATTCCATTTGATATACTTCCAAGATTTTGTTTTAAATTTATCCCTGGTATGGAGTTTTTCATGCTTCAAATGCAGGCAGAACCTACTGAAATTTAGTAGCTTTCTCTTTACAAAATTATCTAGATTCTCTTTGGAAACCAACAACAGGAACATCATGAAGGTTTTTTTTTTCCCTGAACAAAAAATACATGTATTGAAATACCTCTAAGTGACTTCTGTAGTTATTAACTAGAGGCTTCTAGTTAAAGGACTAGAAGTATGACATCTAAATTAGGGAGTTATTTTCAATATGTTCCTGTTACTGCGCTCTTTTTGTGCATGGAGTACCAGGAGAGTAGGTGATTATAAGCACTTTCTTATAAAATAAGTTGCATAGATGGCATATTGTCTAAAAAGTGTAAAAATAAAGCTAAGATTTTCTTTACTAGCATTTCTTTTTGCTGGGATTATAATTTTTGGCCATGGCATTTTGGAATGTCAAGTGTCCTATTAACTACTTTTTTGAGATTTTAATTACAAAGATATGACAATAGTCATAAAAACGTCCTCCTTTTTTTTAAAGTCTGAAAAGGCTATTTTTCATCTAATAAATGAGAAATCTGTACTTTTTTTTCCCAGCATACTATTTCTATGTAGACATTTAAGACATTGGTTGTCATAGGTCTT